TATTTTTGGCGATTTCTACAGAAACACTCTGTGGATGTACCCCGGAAACGTTCCTCTCTTGATTTCCTAAACGTGCAAATAGCAAGGATGCTCAGTAGTGCACTATGTATGTCATGTTTATTTTTAGCTGGAAGGTAGATTCAACTACATATCTTACAATCCTTATTGCAAAGCAAGAACTCTGAATTTTGATTTCTCTTTTTCATAAACAGCGATTTGCTTACTGTTAGCACTTTGCATTTTCGTATTGCCGTTCGGAGCTGCACACCAGAGTGAACGTATTGAATTTCTCCGATTTCATTCAGACTCAACATGATGTTTGACGAGACAGAAACCGTTGGAGCGCTGTTCCCTGTCGCACAGACGGTTGGATTCCGAATGCTCATGAGAGTTGTCTGCTCCGGCGCCACGTGCGTCATCATTCCCGAAGGAACAAGCTTTGACGAGACGGTGGACGTCGTGCGGAGACACAAGGTAAAACAGTTCGTCTATACTGTATATACAAAAACAAAAAAAAAAACTGAATATTGTACTATCTGTTATTATTGCTGCGTGCGAATTGGCAACGCACGCGACTGCCACGCGGAGAAGCGAAGTTCAAACCTGCTTGGCCACGTTTTCCTTTTACCGATTTGTGCTTTTCCACAAAGTTACAATCCATTGTCGGATGTTCCGAGTGACATTCGGTGAATATAAGAATATTTATTTGTTTAAAATTCAGCCTCTAAGTACTTGCTGGAAATGCTTCTAAAGTTTAGTTGGGCGAAAATGATGGTTTCAGCTTTACATTTGAAGCCTAAATACCATTTCATGGTACTTTTCAATAACCACATGAGTGTTGCAAAATATTCTTTTTTTGTGCCTTCTGATCTTTCACCTTTTACTGGCCAATGTGTGATCACGTGCGAATGGCCCGGATCCAAGCTGATCAAGTGCTCACCCTATAATAAATAATTTGCTCTTCTCCCGGACAAAAATGAATAAATAAGGGAATATAAATGTCGTTAGTGAAAACCTGTAATGTTGTTGATCGTGTCCACTGCGCACGTTCGCATTAATTTGCGTCCTTACCGCCAGCATCGAAGATGTTAGATCAGTTGAAATAAAAAATAAAATGCAGACAGACAGACAAAACTGCTCAAAATCAGCGACGCTTTTTTAAGTAATGTTATAATCCTTCACGCGGTCTTTTGCTATTGTACATATTTGAGTACACCGTAAATTGTTTCTTAATAAACACTGTGCACGGACATTTCAGAGGTGATTTCATCATTGTGATGAACATGAAAAAATATGTTACACGTTTGCTCAAAGAAAGGCCTTCGCCGGTATTCTGAGTATGACGTTCATGCACGCTTATAGTATCACTAAGTGGTGTGTGTTATTTTATTTTTATTTATTTTTTTATTTATCAATACTGCCAGCCCAGTTTAGGGCCAAGGCAGGTGTAAGTTACACATTGTCGATTGGCACACTGACATCTGAATTGCATACGAACAAAATATATAAAATAACGAAATTTTCTTCCTATGCAGTCAATGCACGAAACCTTAACCCCCTTTCCTTCATTTGACACAGTAACATGCATATAAAATAGTAAGCCTCACACATCTGTTTTCATTGAACTTCATGACTAAACAGCAGTCAAAAACATTCTTAGCACTGAAAAATGATTTCTACAGCTTTCGCAAAAGAAGAGAATGAATCAATGTGAACAACATAACCGGGAAGACTGTTTCATAAATCAATTGTATGCACACAAAAAAAGATTGTTTATAACTATTTATTCGGGCATTAATGCACTCTTAAAAAAAAGCAAATAGTATTTACTAGCTAAGAGGTAGTAACCGCTTGTCACATATGTTACTAGCTACCTAGTAACCGCAAGTAGTAAAGGTGAAGCTAGTAACGGTTACTAGGTCAAGAAGCTAGTGACTGTTCCTAGCCTCAAAGTATAATCCATGCACTTTACTACCTCTACCTAGTAACTAGCGCTATCTCCCTACGGGAGACCGAAAACGCCACTAGTCACGTGATTTTCGGTGGAGAAAAAAAAAAGATGTGGGGTTATGCTGCTTACCACCA